GACTACTTCGGTGTGAACAACAGGATCTTGATCTCCACATGAGCCGCCATATCTCTCATCGAAAATCCGATCACAGACGTCAAAACCTCCACCACCGCCACTAAAATATGGCTGAATTCACTGCCAGTCTGCCACTATTAGAAACCCCCCCACCACCGCCGATTGTGGTGGTGCTACCGATTGTTGGGAGTTTAGGTTGGTTTTGGCCTTTGCGAAATCATCTGAATCAAACCTAAAAAAAAATAGAAAATCGAGTGTAAACACATTCATCCATCGACCCAAATGTCCGAAGATCTCACTGGTAGTGTGGATCAGAGATCGATATCATGAATCAAGCTAAGATCGATATCATATATATGCCCTACAACAAACTCTGAAATTCCAACCCAATCTTTTATATATATATATATATATGACGGCTTGTCTGCAATTTCTTGGGCGGTTACAGTGATATATATATATATATATATATATATATATATATATATGTTGTACCCACCATCAATGAACCAAATAGATCCACCACCTAGCCATACTTCCCTTCCACATGCTTCCTCCATTGCGAGATGGCAACAAAACAACCCAACCAATAATTAAAAAACATATTGTTGATTATGGGTAGGGCTTGCTGGTGAATTGAAGGTAATTGTGAATATAAGTGTGAATATGTGTACTTAATTTACAATTATATTTCTTCAATGTATAAAAATCGGAACCAATTCGTAACATGTGGTGTTGCTGTAAACTTCAACCTCTGGTCGTGAGAGGTGGGTGAGTTAGAGAGAGAAAGATGGTCCACTGGTGGGGGAGTTTGAGAGAGATGAGTCTGATCTCTCTTTATATTTAAGGGTACTTTGGTCCATTAGTATATATATATATATTTGTTATTTAATAATAATATGGGCATTTTGGTCAATTTTTGTACAGAGGGGAGGTCTTTGCAAAATTGGTTAAACCTCAGTGGAACACGTTACAACAAAATAGCAAATCTTAGGTTTAGTTGCAATTAGGCCAAACCTCAAGGGAGGTCATTGTAGTTTGCCCTTTAAGAATCTATAAGAGACATATACCCTATATGAATTCTGCGGTGCTTATTGCCCGCAACTCTTCTTTAAAAATAGTTTTTGTTTTCTTAGCTCTTCACAACCATTCTTACAAAGGTAAACCAAGCCCCTATCATAATTGATTAGTAACTTTTTAAACTTAAAACCGTTTATTTAGATGTAAAACCTAATTTAAAAAATATATTTTTTTAAATTTTGGTATTTAATTGTCATAAATATTTACAAAGAAAAAAAAAAAAAATATAACAAAAATAACTTACTCATTAATTTTTGGCAACTTATTTTATACACACTGTTCGATGAATTCGACCTCAACCTTAAATTAAACCTTTGTCAAACACCGAAAATAAAAATAATAAAAAATATTTTACTTAAAAAAGAAAAATATTTTTTTACACACTGCTCGATGAATTCGATTTCAATCTTAAATTAGACCTTTGTCAAACACCGAAAATAAAAATAATAAAAAATATTTTACTTAAAAAAATATATTTCAGAAATCCAAGTAGAAATGTGTACATTACTTCCTTTATATATCCAAAAAAAATAAAAATAAAAACAAAAAAACAAAAATGTTGCATTTCAACCACCATACATACTACCATTACATTACCTAGAAATTGAATAAATAGCTTACTATTCAATTTCTTATAAGTTCGATCACCTATAACTTTCTTCCTCATTTATTGATTACATTTCCTGAATAATATGCTTTCCTTTTATTATTACCCAAAAAGAATGTATGCCAGTCAGTGGTGACCTGTAGGGCCTAGGGGTCAGGTCACCTAATCTATCTTCTTTATCAAATAATTGTACGTCCACATAAAACCACATTTTATTATTTAACCAAAATTGTCAAATCTATTGTTTTTTTTTTTATTTCTTTCTCTTGTCGTTAAGTTTGTAAAATCTACAGTTGAATTGATAATTTCTGTACTAAATTACTAATTATATTTCATATATGGTTGATTTATGGATAGTATTGTTATTTTATATATGATTGCACATGTATAAAACTACTTTTTTTTTTTTTTTTTTTTTCTTTTTCTTTTTCGATAATTATGTATAACACTACTTTCACTTCACATCTTTGATATTTAAATTCACCCCCATAAGAGAACTTCTACGTAATAGTATTGTATGAAGTAAACAAAAAAATATAAAACATACATGAACTGCATTTTTAGTTGCTGTTTTAACTTTTAACAATTTTATTTTATTTAAATTTTAACAATATAAAACATATATGGTTGATATATTTTAGGAAATCACAATAAGAGGTTGATACCTCTTTTAAACTTAAAAAAATACAAAACATGGGTTATATCCACTTTTTAGGATTAAACTCGACATATCTATTTTTGTATATGTTCATCTGCATCTTTCTTTTTCTTGCTTCTGTCTGTTTCTTTTGCTCTCATTCTTATTTACAAAAACAAGTACGTAGGAAATAAAAATAAGATAGAAACCGTAGAATTGAGTGAAAAAATGAATAACTTTCATATATAGCATGCATAAAAAATAGTTGAGATAGATTTTAAAAAGGGAGAAATAAAAATGGTTAGTTCAATTTTTTTAATGATAGTTTTATATCTTAAGAAAAAGGTAAGAAATATAATTTTCCATGAGTTAATTAAAAATAATACTCAAAGTTGAGTAAGGAAAAAAATAGATCTGTTGGGTTTAACAATAAAAAATGGGTATAACTCATATTTTGTACTTTTCTAAATTTAAAAGAGGTGTCAACCTCTTATTGAGACACATTAATGTGCAGGACACAATCTGTCTTGATGGGACAAAATTGAAGCATTAATGTACATTTTTAGTTGCTGGTTTAACTTTTAACAATTTTATTTTATTTAAAATTTAACAATATAAAACATATATGGTTGATTTATGGTTAGTATTGTTATTTTGATATATTTTATATATGGTTGCCCACACATGTATAACACTACAATAAAAACAAACTTGGGTAAATTACACTCACACCCCTTAAGGTTAGGTTATATTTCAGCTAGATAAAGATTTTGGTTTTAAATTTCACTTATATTTGAATTAGTGGTTTAGCATTTCACTTACACCCCAAATGTCAATTTTTAGTTGGGTGAGAGTACTTTTGAAGTGTTAAATGACTATACTATCCTTTGACCAGGTGTTGACTAATTTTGTGACCAAACTACCCCCAACATACAAAGCAATATCCACGTCAGCCAAATACTTTACACATAAGCCATCTTCTCTCTCCTCCAATCTCTCTCTGCACAGACCCATCCGGTGTTACCAATCACCCTTTGTCACCATCGACGTTATGATCGGCACTATTTTCTTCACCTTTAGCCTAACAAACCAGAGACAACAACCACAAACCCAAGAAAACCCACATCAACAACAACAACCCAGACTCCCTAGCTCGCATCCTAACCAGCGTCACCTACAGACCCAACCCATTAACCAAACTTCTTCATCCTTACCGGCGTTACCTGCAGACCTCACCCATCAACCGAATTTAGGCGACAAGCTCTCATCAACCAAACTCCGGCCACAACACCTGTCCATCAACAGATCTAAAGAACCCAACCCATCAACCAAACTACAGATCCAAAAAAGCCAACCCATTAACCAAATTCTTCATCGTTACTGGCGTCACCTACGAACCCAACCCATCAACCAAACTCCAGCCACAACACCTGTCCCGCCACCATGCAAATCCTCAACACTGCCGACTTCGTCCCCAACCTCACCCTCTGCCGTCTCATCCACCTCTGATCCGATCAGCAGCCGGAATCTGACCTCTCCTCCCTCCAAACTACTTCCTCCAATCTCAATGCAAAAAGTAGTTCAATCGATCAAAAAAATCAACAACCATGCCGATGATTGCTTGATTTCTCTTCGCAAAATAGTTGACTTCACTAAGTCCTCCGACGGCTCACTGGGCAGTAGCCTATCAACTCTTTGTCCACAGCCGGTAAGTTCATTATTGCCGGAAAATTAGCCCAAACACGGAAAATTCGCCCAACTCACCAGCGTCTTCCAAGTTCATTATCATCGCCGGTGGTTTCTTCAGAGCTCTATGCCGCCGCTGCTTCCCTGCCGCCATTCAGATAGTGAGGTAGGGATATGGTCGGTGTGAAAGTGAGGACATAATATGATAATTTAGAGATAACCCAGATAAGGATGAAATGAAATCAAATGGCTATCAAAATGACTGGCCATCAGCAGTACTGTCCTTTGAATCTCACAAAAATAGATTTAATTATATGTTTTGTATAATTCATTGATTGAATTTTACCAAAATTCCAATCCAAAATGTGGGTGGGTGAAATCATTGACGAGGAATCTAAAGAGGATTGGCCTGCAGGGAGAGGAGAGGGAAGGTGCTGGTGTATGTGTTTGAACGGTTAGGATTGCTAGGGACCATAAATATGTGGTGGTCTCGGGATTACGTGTACAAACAATATACTGTATATATATACATACACAGAGGGGTCTTTTTGTCATTTAAAATTATATATATTTTGTATTAAAAAATTGAGAGTAAAAGTGTCAATTTACAGACAAAAAATAAATTGGGGTGTGAGTGAAAGTTAAAATCAAAATTTTAATTCATAATCTTAGAGGATGTGAGTATAATTTACCCCAAAAACTTCTGCATCAGATCTTTGATATTTAAATTGTCCCCCATAAGAGAACTTCTACGTAATCAACAGTGAAGTATGGTATGAAGCCCGTACCATTATTGTCCAAACAAAAAAATATAAAACATACATCAACTGCATTTTTAGTTGCTGTTTTAACTTTTAACAATTTTATTTTATTTTATTTGAAGCAGTACGTATTATTTTAATAATTTTCCAAATAATCACGCACACTTTCCTTAAATGGATAGTCTTAACCTCTCTAGGCCATTGTCACGAATTGCAAATAGGGGTATGTTTTGCTATATAAAGAAAGCTCCTTTTTCTTTTTTTTTTTGTCGGTAAATGAAAACTCCTTTTCCTTGAGGTGTCATTCCACCCACTCTCTCTCTCTCTCTCTCTCTAGTTTTCTCTCTCTAGAATTCACATCTTTCTCCCCAATTAGCAGTGGGTTTTGGGAGAACCTTTGATAAAACGGTAAGTGCCTAGCCCCAACATTATTTTTTCGCTCCGACAAGACGAACACTAAAAAATAAAAACCCACCAATTCTCAGCAAGATCTGAACTGGGTCTCTTTATCTAGGGTTTCTACTCTGTTAAAGTCACAAACCCACATTTTATGTGGGTATTATAATTTTCACCATGAAAAATGGAAATATATGTGATTTTTTTTTTTTTTTCTCTCTCACATTAATCTCTCTCTCTTTTTTGGAGTACTGTAGGTTAGGAATGGGGAGAGAGAAGATAAAGATCAAGAAGATCGAGAACATGGCGGCGAGGCAGGTGACCTTCTGTAAGAGACGTGGAGGGGTTGTCAAGAAAGCTAAGGAGCTGGCTGTTCTTTGTGATGCCCAAGTTGGTCTCGTTATCTTCTCTGCAACCGGAAAGCTCCTCGAGTATTCCAGCTCAAGGTATATATATATATATATACATGATATTGTCATACATATTATATATATATATATATATCTCATATTTGATCATGATATACATATTATATATATAAATAAATATATATACTGATGTGCCATGGCTTTTGCAGAAAGTTGTTAGCCATACAGTTTAATCTCCCAAAGTTGTTAGCCAACTTAGCCGTACTGTCTTAATTTGTTGGCCTTCAGATCTTTGCCCTTTTGGGTTGGTGGTTTTTTTTTTTTTTTCAAATATTAAGTTTAAAAAATTTTAGTGATTAATTTGTTACACTTCAACTTACATCCACTTAAAAAAAAAAAAAAACTTACAACCACTTGATATATCATCATTTATTATAGACATGATATTTGCATCTTACTAGGTCAATGTGAATATTATGAGATAGCTGAACCCTAGTGGAAAATTATTTATATCTCAAATATTTATAATGTATCCATTTGTAGATGCATAATTGTCTCTTCTTTTTCTTTTCTTTATGTTTTAATATCAAATCTTCAAGATATGTGGGTTTGTAGATGCAGAGTTTTCTTTTTCTCTTCCAATCCCTATACATCATTTCCCATATCTACTTAAATCGATCGCTCTGTTGATGTGCCCATGCAAGTTCATTTTTGGTCTCTAGAAGTTTGTCTTCTTATTTTGTAACTCCCCATTCATATGGGCTTCTTGATCTTCGTCATATGCAAGTAGCGTCCAATGTCCATCTCATCATATCCATGTATACTGGTGTTGTGTTACTATTAGGGCTGCACACGGTCCGGTTTGATCTGGTTTTGAGAATTTTTGGAACCAAATTCGTTCCTAAGATTTAGAAAATTTGAAACTGAACTAGATCATTTGAGCCATGGAACCAAACCAGCCCAAACCATAAAAAAACGGTTTAGTTCAGTTCGGTTCCACGGTTATTTCTCTATTTTTTCTTTTGAATTATATATACAATAAAAATATCAATAAAAACATTCACATTCCCGAATCGAAGATTAAAATAAAGAGAGAGAATGAGAGGGAAAAGTGGGTGAAATAGACCCAAAAGCTAAATCTTATAAATTAAAATAAGGTTGAATCTTGCTGAAATTGAAAAGGATGACAAATTCATGGCTGAAAACTAAGAAACTTGATTCGTTGTCATTGTTGGTTGTGCTTGAGGCGCAAACACACCGTGAGACTTAGAGCTCTATGAATTGAAAGTGAGAGAGAGTGTGAGAAAGAGGATATCATCGATGGTAACGATAAAAGATCGCCGGTGATGACCGAACTTCTGGTTGCTTGAGAGAGATTGATCAACAACTAGATTCCGTGGCAATGAGAACTAAGAAGAATAAGGCGGCGTAAGCAAAGAAAAAAATGAGATAGTAGAGGAATGTTGGCACACACCCAAAAATCAAAATATTGAGAGAATCAAATACAAATTAAAAAATATTAGATAATGATGAATGTTGCTTCCTGAAATCCCTTGCAAAGTTAAGAGTAACATATATATATATATATATATATATATATATATATATATATATATATATGTTACATATATTTATATATATATTATAACTATTCGATTTGGGCCGGTTCGGTCCTGCAGGATCCTAATCCGGAACTGAACCAAAAATTCATGGTTCCATTATTTTGAAATCGTGACCGGACCAAACCGCTATGGAACCGGCCCAGACCGCCCGATTCAGTTCAGTCCGATTTGGTTTTTTGAGTTGACGGTTTTTTTGCACACCCCTAGTTTTTATTCTCCCAATTAAGTTATCAAACATATAAACAAAAGGGATCATTACGGATACACGAACTTATTATGGAAATATATTTATTATTTGATGAAGTCAAAGTTATGATGTTTCGAGAAAATAAAGTTGATCAAAATGCTAATGTGAACATGGAAAAATATTGTTCATTGTGTAAATTACCCTTACTATTTTCAGGTACTACTTTTGTCTTTGGCTATAGAGCAATCACTTTTGTGCACATATATAAGTCCCACTCTTTTTTGCATGTAGGTACCATTTTTTGTGTAAAACAAAAAGTAGTACCTAACGACATGGTCCGCAAAAAAGATGGCATATGCGTGCATAAAAAATGGTACCTCTATGCCCAAGACAAAATAGTACTTGGAAATAGTAAGGGTAGTTTGGATAAATGAATAATATTTTTTTCATATCCATGTCAGCATTTTGGTCAACTTTATTTTTTCAAAACATTATGACTTTGACTGTATCAAATGGTGTATATGGGTCCATAACACCATGTATTCGTAATAATCCCTAAACGCAATCCTTAGCTCTTTTCTTTGGTCTAGCCCATCTGTTGCTCTTTCCAAGCCTAAAGTTGCATGGAGCTCAATTTGTAAGTCTAAGTTTGAAGGTGGCCTTGGATTTCCTCATCTTTCAACCTGTTGTAATCAAGCTCTCATACTTAGACACATTTGATGTCTTTTCTCAAATTATTCAGGTAGCTTATGGTTTATGTGGACTAATAAAACTTTCCTTGAGACATGAACTTTTAGGACATCAAAATTCCTCTCGATAGATCTTGGTGCCATAGAGAAAAGTTTTAAGCCTTAAGCCCTTGGTTAAATCCACTCACCTTTGGTTTGACGATTAGCGTCCTCCTGACCCTCTTAGACTCAGAATCAACACATCCAACTCTTTCATTGGTAAGTATGCTATGGTTAATTAGTTGCCTTATCCACAATAATTTTGGGCACATTCCCTTTCATCTAACCAAGTTGGTTTTAGACTTTAGTGCACATCTCATCACAGTCCCTCTAAAGCTTTTAAGGAATGGCATATTGCCTTGGTGATCTTCATCTTTTTTCAAGATTATTTTCTCTGTCGCATACTCTATCTACCTTTTCCTCTATCCCTTATGAATTCGTTGGAAACACTTAGTTTGGTTTCATCCTTCCATCCCAAGGCATAATTTTATCCTTTAGCTAGCCATTCTTCTCAAATTACCCAGCCACTAGAGATAACAAACATCTTACTTACCTTCACATCCTAAATGTTTTCCCTCTTTGCAATGTTGATTTGGAATCCCACAGTATCATGATCATTTCTAGGGTTTTTTTTTTTTCAGCCACCATTGGAACTTCAAAACCTTGCAAGTGTTCAAATTATTCATTAATATTGGCCTTCCTCATTTCTTAGTGTTTTTTTTCCCAAAAATTCAAGCAAGGGTATATCTGTATATGTATATAAATATATAGGAAAATGTACAAGATGGGTTAGGTTGCAACATAGGTGTCCCAATAGAAACAGACTGTGTTAATTACATTATTGTAAAGACTAAGCCCATTTGGCCAATAAGATTCAACCATTATACCAATTAAAAAAATGGCCTTAGTGACCGTTGAAGCATTACTCCAATGTTCAGCATCCGGATACCACATTGGCAAAAAACGATGGATGACTCTCACCCTATTACATCCGGAGGTCGAGGATGAAGGCAAAGACAATCATTAAGAATAACCCAATCATGGAGAGCTCGACGATTTGGGAGCCAATCTTTTAGGGTAAAGCTCAAAAGCCTTGTTCTTATAACCGATATGATCTTCACCAAAACTTGATTTTGAGATGATTGAGGTGCCATTTTGGAACAACCTATAGTTCCTCTTGGCCTAATTGTGGTAAACATATACCAAAAGAGTAAGTTTGAAGAATTAAAATTTGATTTGAAGTAAGTTATAATGGAAAGAGAGCCAATTGATTAGCGAGGCGCAAGAGGAAGAACTAATGTAAAGTCAATGTTTTGTTTGTAAAAATGCGAAAAGGCCAAAAGAGGAAGGCTAAATTTAAAAATGAGGAAGGATTCACTTACCTTGTCTAAAAACTCCTCTCCTTATTCAAGAAGGTATGTGAATCCTTATTCAAGAAGGAATGTATTCAAGATTCTATAAATAGAGGTGGAGTTAGGTTAAGTAAGTAGAGTGTAGAGAAGAAACAAGGGTTTGGTTATTGATATGAGGAAATTATAAAGTGTATGTTTCCTAAAGGAGATATGTAGCCCCAGAAGATGATGAGTGGGAGAGTGGAGGGTGGACAGTCTCTATGGCTATATATTCTCTTCTTGACTCATAATAGTGGAAGTTCTTCTCTCCGTGGGTGTAGCCCTAGTTTTGGATGAACCACGAAATATTATGTGTTGTGTGCTTGATTGATGAATGATTGGTCTCCATCTATGTATGTTCAATGGTTGTGTGATGATATGTTTCTATTGTGCTTTAATGAAGGGGTTTTAATTCCAAACAACAAATATCAAAACTAATTAGAGGGAGTTAATATTCCTAACAATTGGTATAAGAGCTGATGGTTCGTCTTAGAAGATTTAGCCTTTTATTAGAGCCGAATAATGGTCCTAAAGAGGTTGCCAAAACCGAAGATTCATCATACGTAGGAAGTTTGCCAAAGCTAAAGGATGACTGTGAGATGTCTTGGGGATTCAATTAGAGTCAAAGATGGTGATGGCGTGAAGATAGAAATGCATAAGCCCATGAGGAACAAGTTTTAGGACAAGAAGCCAAAAAGTGAGTGCTAGGTCCCAAGATGGGGTGAGTGGGAAGATGGTGTGGATGGATTGAAGAAGGGGTTTGCTTTTAGCCTAGAAATAACAGGTATGTATAGAATGTGTGGGGCGTAGAGATGTATGGTAGTGGTGGATTACTATTAGACACCGTTTGGGTGAGCACCGAAAGCGGGTAAAGGATCTCGTAGATCGTGGCTTGAGTATCTAACACCATACTTGAGTAGATTGAGTGAAAGTACATGGTTCGACATTCAAAAGTCTTTATTGGTGTCGATTAGCCTGATTGAAATTGGTGGGTTACCATGAATGAGTAATTGAACATCAATGATGAAGGTTTGGGATGGGATGAATGGGAATGGAGAAGAAAAAGGAAGGAAGGAAGAAGATGAGAGAAGAACAGAGATGTTTGGTTGGTTTGAGGTAAAGGAATTTTCAGTTGAGGTGGAGCTACGGAGGAAAGTGATGATGGAATTTAAGCCAAGGTGGAGATTGTTGGGATGTGTCTCAAATTCCTAAAGGTTACTATTCTGGAAAAGTGCGACGGGTTGCATGTTTTTTTTGGATGGGTTGCACTTTCTCGGTTGTGGAAAAATAATGTTTTGAAAAAGTGAGATGGTTGCACTTTTTAGGACCGATCACATATGCCTGATATGTGTGTGATTAATTTGTTTCCTTATTTGAGAAATTACTTTCCTAAAGCTTCAGCTTTGTAGAGCAAGTTGTTTCTTTGTAATTAAGAAAATTGTGCCTTATTAGGCTTCTATTTTAAAGTTGTTATTGATTTAGTAATTTCTTGTTAGACAAGGTAAAGGAATGTGTTGAAAACTTTTTAAATAGAGGTGGAGTTGAGTGGAGTAGGTTAAGAAGAAACAAGGGTTTGGTGAGTGTTGTAAGGATAGGAGAGAGTGATGTAATTCTCGAGAAGAGATGTAGCCCCAAAAGATGATGAGTGAGAGAGTGGAGGGTGGGAAGTCTTTATGTTTGTATATTATATTCTTGATTCATGATAGTGGAAGTTATTTTCTCGGTAAACATGGACTTAGTTTTGGGTGAACTACATAAATATGATGTGTTGTGTGTTTGATTCATGAATTATTGGTTCCCTTATATGCATGTTCGATGGTTATTAGATGATATACTTCCGTTGTGCTTGAATGAATGTGAATTTAATTCTCATGTATCAAAACTAGTTGGAGGGAGTTAATATTCTTAATATAATGTAAGATGATTGATTGTATTGAGCTTTGAGATAGTTGAAGTCAACGAATGAGAGAAATTCCATGCTCAATTGAGTAAGAAAACACGTAGCTTGATACCTTTGGAAAATCCCAAGTCTTCAATGTTTGATCAGAGAATACGGAGGATATATAATAGACTAGAGTCTAGCTAGGATCCTCCCAAAATGATATTTCAGTACCATTTTGTATTTTAAATATTTTGATCAAGGGTTGAGCTAGTTATCTGATTTAGAGAAGTTCCCTCCACGACCAAAACATCTATGATGGATCTTGATACTCCACAGATTTCCCCTCTTTATTAGGTATGTTTTAACCTGCTAAACCCATATACTTTGTGAATCTTGCTTGAGAAGTTTCCATATGTGCTTTAATATGAAGGTCTTGTTTAGGGTTCTTAGATTTTGTAATCCCAATCCACCATCAGACTTTGGTTTGCACATAGATTTCCATTTCATCTTGGCACCAGTAGATTTCATTTCAGTTTTTTACCACATAATCTTTTTAGCAACTTGTTAAGCTTATCATAATTACCTTAGGGAGTATGAATACACCACCTAGGACAATTGGAATCTAACTAGAAAATACTTAACTAATTGGAGTCTTCCGGGTATAAAAGTGATCTTTTAATCACTAATTGATGCAGTGTCAACATGGTAACCATGTCAACACCATGTGGGTGCTTAGATGGCTTATTAGAAGATCAAAAGTTGTCCTTAGAATTGGATAGCAATTGAAGACTTGAGTTTCTAACTGCCCATATATATATTTCTTAGTATTTTGTGTTTTGTAAGTTGTGTTATTTAAAATTGTGCCAACCTTTTGACTTGGGTTTAAAGTTGGGAGTTATATCTTCATTAATGAATAAAAGATGAAAACATATATCTATAGGTGCTGGAAGAGGGAAGAGAACTTTACACTTGAAAATTTGATAATTGATATGATAGAGCATAGCTCTTTGTTTATCCAAGTCATTCTATTGCTTATGTCTTAATTAATTGTTCTATATTTTTCTTTGATAATTGATATGATAGAGCATAGCTCTTTTTTATCCAACATATTCTATTGGTTATGTCTTAATTGATTGTTCTATATTTTTCTTCTTCGCTCCTTTGCACGTCCCCACGTCACTAATCATGGCAGTGATCTTCTATGCTAAGAGCTTGCAATCAGTTGATTTTAGCATAGCAGAGATCAGAGGAACTCCTAGATGCCCAACCAAAGAAACGATTGCACGTTCAGTGGTGGGGTCAACTCCTGAGATAAAAACTGAACTTTTGGATAGGTTAATAGCTAGGCCAGATAATATAGATAATTGATGAAATGTTGATATAAAGGATCCCCTTGCCTAAGCCCTTTGACTCCTTTGAAGTATCTATGGAACTCTCTCCATTAATGGATACGATAAATAAAGTGGATGTGAGACAAGTTTTGTTCCATTGAATGAGAATTTAGGGAAAGCCAAAGTTGAGAAAACATCAAACAAAAACTCCTAACCTACTAAGTCGGAGGCCTTCTTGAGGTCAACTTTCATAGTACACCTAGCAGAGTAATGAGGCCTTGTGGTATCAATGAAGAAGTTATTGAGTATGATAGAGTCACTGATTTTTCTGTTAAAAATAAACATCGTTTGAGTAGAATCTATGAGATGGGGAGAATTGGCTTGATTTTGTTGGCAATTAACTTAGAAATGCATTTCAAAATTAAATTATAACTTGATATGGGCCTATAATCGTGAGGAGAGGAAGAGTTTTGACACTTAAGCACAAAAGAGGTATATGAAGGGTTATCTTCTTTTAGTAGTTTCCTATTAGTGAAAATTTCTGCAACGGGTTTCAGTTGTAGGTGGAGTCAATCAATCGGCTTGTTTAATCACGATGATTAAAAAAAAAAAAGAAGCTAAGTTGAGAAAGCATCAAACAAAAACTCCTAACCTACTAAGTCGGAGGCCTTCTTGAGGTCAACTTTCATAGTACACCTAGGAGAGTAATGAGGCCTTGTGGTATCAATGAAGAAGTTATTGAGGGAGTATGATAGAGTCACTGATTTTTCTGTTAAAAATAAACATCGTTTGAGTAGAATCTATGAGATGGGGAGAATTGGCTTGATTTTGTTGGCAATTAACTTGGAAATGCATTTCAAAATTAAATTATAACTTGATATGGGCCTATAATCGTGAAGAGATGAAGAGTTTTGACACTTAAGCACAAAAGAGGTACATGAAGGGTTATCTTCTTTTAGTAGTTTCCTATTAGTGAAAATTTTTGCAACGGGATTCAGTTGTAGGTGGAGTCAATCAATCGGTTTGTTTAATCAAGATGATTAAAAAAAAAAATCGTGATAGATTACATGACATGAAGCTCGGGTAGTCAAGGTGGAGCTTGGGAGGTTTGACAGATTGAGAAGTATACAACGGGACAATAAAAGTTAGTGCAAAATTGAAGCCAGATGAATTGTCCAATTTAATTACCATGGGAAGCGATGACTGATGTGATGAAATTTGAGCCAAAGTGGAGATTGTTAGGGATTATGACTCAAATTCTATTGTAATCAAGTTTCTATTTTAAAGTATATTTTATATGTTAATTTCTTATATGGCAAGTTTTGGCCTCTAAGAATTATAATTATTGTCCAATAAGAAATTGGGTTTTTAGAACTCTATAGGTTACTGTTGAGAGGTATGGGTTAAGAGAGATGTAGCCTCATGAGAGTTGGAGTTAATGGACAGAGATGTAGTTACATATTGGGTAGAGTGAACATTGATGGAGAGAGGGAGTCTCGTGGAACACACAGAGAACTTGATCAAAAGTTTGTGTGCATGGTCCGGTGTTAGAAATTTTCTACTGTTGAAATATCTCTACATATATAATGAATCTCTTCTCATCCGTAGACATAACCCTAATTTTGGGTGAATCACGTATATTTTGTGTTTGTTGTGTGATTGTTTTATTTCTTCTTTTGCTTCGGTTGTGCCCTACATATTTGACATGATTACTTTAGTTCCATTCGCAGACTCTCTTTTACAAAAATTTAGCAGTTGCATATGCCTTCTTATAAAGTTAATAAATGAAACATTGGCTATGATAAATTATGACGTGTAATTGTTATTGTGAAGGATGAGAGATATACTTCAGAGACATCATATGCATTCAAATAACCTCAGAGAAATGGACCTATCTTCAGTTCAACTGCAGGTAAAATTAATTTGTAAAGAGTTTACAGTGCTCTTGAACATTTGCGAATCGTTTATTTTCTCACAATGTACACTTTTAATATTTTTAAAGATTATATTTTATATATTCATTATTTAAGATGAGTATGTATCTTATTATGCAAAGACTTTCTATAGTTTAAAATTATTAGTTTTAGTCCCTACAAATGAGTCACAAAAAGTTGAGGAATTAGATTAGTCTAATAATAAAAAGAAGTGTATAGTGCAAAAAATCTTCCTGAACTATGTTCGAATTTGCAAATAATTACCTCCTTAAAGTATATTTTGTGCGTAATACCCTCTAAACTATCACATTTTGTTACAAAATGCCCCAATGCCTAGACTATATTTCAATAAATGACCTCAATGCCATTTCTTATTGAATTACACTTAATCTATTTTTCATTTTAATCGAAATAAATTATGAAAAAATTCATACTAATTTGATGACATATTCCCCATTCAATTTGCATAATTTACCTTTAATTTTTAAAATTAATTGTTTAAATAAAAATCTTAAGTATAAAATTTTAAAACAGTTTAATTAATTTCTTAATTTTTCATTAATAAATTGCATGAAAAAGATAGTATTTTTTATTTAAGTAATTTATTAATTTTACATCAATATATTGTATGAAAAATAAAGTATTTTTCTGCGATAAAAAAGTTGAGTATAATAAGTTTAATAAATAATTAAATTTTAATATTAATAAAAATATTTTAAAAAATAGTAGTTACAATTTTTTCCCCATTTTTATGATAAATTGATACTAATAATAAAATTAAGGTAAATAGTATAATTAATATTTGGATAAGAGAAAAGATTATAAAAATGATTTAATAAGAAGTGACAAAGGGTAAAATAGTCATTTGCGATTTTTTTGTCTTTATTTGCAACAAATTTAATAGATCATTGGGGCAATTTGCAGTTTTTTTTGTAAAAGGGCAATGGTTTAAGGAAATTTTTGCACTTTACCCTAAAAAGAATTGGTCCAAAATAATTTCATTGTTTTTCTGGGAAGTCCAAACCCCTTAATTTTATCCTTAAAATTAAGATGTTTAATTACAATTATGCTCTTTGTTTTAGCAGGAGCATGAGAATCACATGAAATTGAGCAAGGAAGATGCAGATATGAACCATCAATTGAGGTATGCACGTGCGTGTGTGTGTATATATATAGAATATATAGTTTCAAATAAATCTCCTTATATTTTATTGAATCAACATTCTTGAAATAGGCAGATGATGGGTGAGGATCTTCAAGGATTCAATCTGGAGGAACTGCAACAATTAGAGAAAATGTTTGAAGCAGGATTAAGCCGAGTGTTTGAGACCAAAGTCGATCTTGTCTCCCTTTTCTTCCCTATTAATTATGATATATATATACACACATGTCAAGATGTTTACAATTACAGCTTTTCATTCGTTTCAGAGTGCACGAATGATAAATGAGATCGCTGCCCTTCAAAGAAAGGTTTGGTAACAGATCACACTGAATCATTGAACTCGAATTTCTTTTTTCTTTTTCTTTTTAGGAAGGTAACCATTGAACTATAATTCATTTTACTTTTTAAGTTACTTTTTGTGCAATCATGGTTTTGATTCATAGGTTTTTAAGCAGTGTCCTAAACCAAAAATAATATTGTTAGAATAAACCAAATAATTTCTTCTTTTTTTTTTTTTCTTTTTTTTTTTGGGTAAATAAATAACCCAAATAATTAACTTCCCTTCTCCTCTGAACTTCCTCTTAAATACATACATGTAGGGTGCTCAATTGATGGAAGAGAAAGACCAATTGGAAAAGCAGGTTATAGCACTTTTCATTGCCTTTAATTATATAACACACACATATATGATTTGTTTTTTATATTTAACTTATAATTTTTAATTTATTTTTATTTTTTATCACAGATAGTGATGGTTTCTAAAGGAAAGAGACTCCTTGCTGGTCAATCAGATTCTATGAACCTTGAAGAAGGCCAGTTTTCGGAGTCTGTCGCCAATGTTTCCAGCTGCAAAAAGGTTCTTCCACTGGTAGACGATTGCTCTGATACATCCCTGAAACTTGGGTAAGCTTATCTGTCTATATATAAATATATATATATTCATGTGGAAGTGTTACATATTCTAAACACAGTTCTAACTAAGGCAAGCATTCCAGAAGCATGCAAGTTTTTAGGTGGATATAGAATATATACTTAAAAGAATAATGATAATAGTCCGAAAATCGAATGTATTCGAGTATTTTGCTGCCCTCTCAAATGATGACAACATTATTGATCCAGGGGATTTGGCATGCTCCTCAGATGAGGATTCCTCTCAGAATCACAAGGACACAGAATTCATTCACACTATGGACAAATTGCTGAAACCAAGGAAACCATCTCATGCCAAGCACTCTAAGATTGCCAAGAGACCAAGAGTAGTTAAACCAACTGTTAACAGTGTTTCCTTAAGGGGATTTAGGGGTCTGTGTAGCTTATCCTCCTCCTCTAAATGAATTGGGCAGCCTGGAATATCAAAGGGCTAAACTCTACCCTCAAACAAATAGAGATTAGATGTCTTATTAGAAATTCTGAGCTCAGTTTGGTGGCCATTCTTGAAACTAAAGTCAGTTGTAGTAACATGCCTTCTATTCACCAGTTCATTGCTCCCCAGTGGCAGATAAAATGCAATTACCTCACTTCTGTTTTGGGAAGAGTTTGGATTCTTTGGGATCCTCAAAATTTCCTTGCTGTCCGCGGAAGATCATAACCAAGTTATTAATTGCTCCATTGAGTTGATTGACTTCAAAAAAAGAGTTCTGGCTTCTTTTGTGTATGTTGCTAACATAATAGTTGATAGGAGATCCCTTTGGAGGGCCCTTAACTCACATTGCACCTCAAATGAACCTTGGATTCTGATGGGGGATTTCAATGTACTTCTCCACATCAATGATTCTTTTGGTGGGGCTCTTAGATGGACTCAAGGTATGCAAGAATTCAAGGACTGCTTGGAGAGAAAGGGTGTTTCACACTTGGTCCAATGGAAGTTTTGGCTGTGCTAATATCTCAAGGAAGTTGGATAGGGATCTTGTCAACTACTCTTGGATGTCTCTTTTCCCACAGGCTGAGTGTGAATTTCTGCCTCATGGTTTATCTGATCACTCCCCAATGGTGGTCAGGTTTGGTGTTCTTCAACCCAAAAAGAATATCCCTTTTAGGTTCTTTAATTTTTGGGCACTGGATCCTATCTTCCTTCACATTGTTTCACAAGAATGGCAGAGAGAGGTCCATGGTTCAAGAATGTTTATTCTTGTCCAAAAGCTGAGAGCCCTCAAAAAACCCCTCAAACAGCTTAATAAATCCTCTTTTAGTAGCATCTCAGCAAGGGTAGTTGTATGTAGGGATGAGCTTTCCCTTTGTCAAAGGAATTTAGACCTTAATCCAGCAGATGACTCTATGAGATTAAATGAGAAGGAGCTGTCCACTAAGCTCTCTGAGCTCTCACTGGCAGAAGAAATGTTCTTCAAGCAAAAAGCGCAAATTCATTGGCTCAAGGAGGGTGATCAGAATACTGCTTTTTTCATGAGAAGTTTCAGCTCAAAGGCAAATAGAAGGAAGGTCCAGTCCATTACCAACTCCAGTGGTGGATAACTGAATGGGGATGAAATGAAGCAGGAAATTCTCAGCCACTTCAAGTCTATTCTTGGTTATGAGTATCAGCATTATTCAGGTACATCTTCATTTAGCTCTTACATTACTAAGGCTGTCCTAAACCAGTGTTTACCCTCTCTTATTTCAATTCCCACTGACTCTGAAATCCAAAGTACCATTCTCTCATTCCATCCATTTAAAGAGCCCTGGGCCTGATGGGTTTAATTCCTCTTTCTTCTCTCATTCCTGGTACATTATTGGTTCTGATGTCATTGCTGCAATTAGGAATTTCTTTATTACTGGCAGAATGCTTACTGAGATTAACTGTTCCTATATTGCTTTGGTGCCTAAGAAACCTAATCCATCAACAGTTACTGATTTTAGACCAATATCATGTTGTAATCTTATTTACAAAGCCATCTCTAAAATACTTTCTATTAAGCTTTCTTCTATTCTCCTTTCACTTATAAGCCCCAATCAAAATGCATTTGTCAAAGGTAGACACATCTCTGAGAATATAATCATGGCACATGAGCTGTTGAATGGTTATACCAAGTCAGGTCATCCACCTAATTTCGCACTGAAAATTGATTTAATGAAAACTTTTAACACAGTTCATTGGCAATTTATCTTGGATGCAATGATTGTTTTTGGCTTTCCATCAACTTTTGTCCATTGGGTGTCTCAATGCATAACCACGCCATCCTACTCAATCTCACTCAATGGAGAACTTTTTGGTTTCTTCAAAGGCAAAAGGGGTATTAGACAAGGGGACCCTATCTCCCCTTTGATTTTTGTTCTTGCAATGGAGGTGTTATCCCTCACAATCAGTTGTAAAATTGGGAACAACCCTAATTTCAAGTACCACTGGAGGTGTAAGAAACTTACCTTAACCCATCTCACCTTTACTGATGATATTCTACTGTTCTCTCATGCCAATCTCTCCTCTGTCCACACATTACTGGATGCTATCAATTTATTCTGCACATTCTCTGGTCTACAACTTAACCTTCCTAAAAGCAAAGCATTTTTCTCTAGAATAGATAGCCAGACTAAATCATTCATATTGTCACTGCTGTAATTTGAAGCTGGAACTCTTCCAGCTACCTATCTTGGCTTGCCATTGTCTTCAAGAGCAATCAGAGCAAGGGATTGCACTTCATTAGTTGAGAAATTTACAAGAAGAATTGGGAATTGCACTTCAAGATTTTTATCTTACGCTGGGAGGGCTGTGTTAATTAAATCAGTGATGTGCTCTATTCAGTCCTATTGGTCTCAGGCCTTTGTGTTACCTAAGAAGATTTTTGATGAGATCAACAAGCTTCTGAGAAGCTTTTATTGGTCTGGGGTCGAACTTAAGAAAAGAGGAGCAAAAGTGGCTTGGACAGCAGTGTGCAGGCCAAAGATCTTGGGTGGCCTGGGGTTTAATGATATTGAGACTTCAAATAGGATTGCTAATCTGAAGCATATTTGGAAACTGTGTCAAAGGAAAGAGAGCCTTTGGGTGGCATGGACTTTCTCATACTTAATCAAGGACAAAAGTTTCTGGACTGTAAAGTCTTCTTCACTCAATTCTGGATTTTGGAGAGGCTTATTGAGTCTAAGGGAAATGGCTAGAGGGCTTATCAAATATAGGTGGGGTGTGGTAAGGATACAAGGCTGTGGATTGACTACTGGCTTCCCAATGGACCAATCGTGGAACAACTAAGGCTCAATGACATGGAAATTCTTCAACTGGACCTCATGGCCTCAGTTGATAGCCTAATTTTCACTAATCATTGGATGATTCCCTTATCACTTAGTCACTCACAGTTCTTTCAATCCTTGAATTTTCTTTCTCAGCTATACTCATTACCTCCCCCCTTTGATGAACTAGATAGCATTGTTTGGCTCCCTAGTCCAACTGGTACGTACTCCTTCTCAAATACCATTGCTTGTTTTACTCCACCATTTCCAACCTTTGTGTGGCACAAACTTATCTGGTTCAAGAATCATATTCCAAAGCATGGCTGCATTGCTTGGTTAGCAGTTAAAGGGAGACTTTACACCTTGGATTCTAAACCAATGCTCCATAAGCACTATGTTAATAGATGCTACTTGTGCCTATCAGAGATTGAATCTTTGGATCACCTATTCTTCAGGTGTTCTTTCAGCTCACGGATTTGGAGCTTCATTCAGGAAGTAGCAGGATTTCAGTTAATCCCTAATTGTTGGATGGATTTAATCCATTGGTGCTCAACTCATTGGACCTCTTCAGACTTCTTGACTCACAAACTCTTGCTTTCTGCAACAATCTATTTTTTATGGCAGGAGAGAAACACTAGAGCTTTCAGAAATGTCTCCACCTCACACCAGCATATCATTTCTCAAATCAAGTTTTGCACCAGAGCACAACTTGCAGCAATCAAGCTTAAAAGGGGTTCCAACCTTAGACAAATCACAACTGAGCAAGATCTTCACAGTCTTTTTGTGCAGGCCTGTTCATCAGCTGTTGTGCATCCTTGGTTAATCTTTTAGCTGTGTAGAATTTGCTTGAGGCAGTGTTTGCTTGTGCTTGGATGGGTTATGCATTTTGCTGTAGGCAGTAGTGTGCTGCTATGTTTTGTTTTGCTTAGATTTGTTTAGTTTCTTTGGCTGGGTTGTATCTTTCCAGTTCTCTCCCCTCTTGGGGCACCATGTATTTTCTTCCTCTCTTTTATACAAGCTTACCCTTTAACCAAAAAAGACATGGCAGTCAATTTGGGTATAAGTTGACACGTGAAAAAGATAACAGAGCTGCATGCAGAGGCAAAGGAGATTGAAGCATTTGAATTATTTAATGGATATGGATTGCAGTGACACTATTTATCTTTTAATTTGTTTCAATTAAGTATTAGTGGTTATCCTTAAGTTAGTTTAATTTAAATATATTATTTGTTATGTGATAGAGTCATTATGTAAGTCAAGTACTTGAAGTAAGGAGTTTGTTTTTACGTTATTCTATAAATAAATATAGAGGCATGCTGAAAAAAAGGTCCAGGGTCCAGCACCCTCAGAATCATTTTATTTTTTTGTTTGCTTTCTCAAGCACTTTCCCAAAATAATCCTTTTTATTTCTCTCTCTCTCTTTCTCTCAATATCTCGTTCTATCTCTCTTCCCCTCAATCTTTCTCTACTTCTTTCTATATATATTTCTCTTCCCTTTCTATTCTCAAAACATTATTATAAATTATTCATTATAAAATTCCTTTTAATTAAGTCAATTCTTGAACCAAAGAGGAGTTTTACTATTCTCTTTATCCTCGCATCGTCTGAAAGTCAACCATCCCAAAGAGACTACAGTTGACTATTTAACCTCGAACCATATAATTGGTTCTGGTACGCCTGTATCACATCAATTCCGAATCGGATCTTAGGAGCCGATTTTAGTATCAACATTCTTGGCACACCTGGTG